CTGCCCTGTATGCAGCAGGTGGTTAATCGGTGTGAGTGGAAAGATTAAGAAGGAATGGGCTTGAGCTGGACTTTGAACGGTAGCTAGGATTTCAGCAGGTGGCAGTCAATCAACTAAGCAATTATTAAGCTCCTACCATATCTCAGGTGTCAAGAACAGATATATTCAAGTATCCTAAGCAAGGTTATGGAGGCATAAAACCATGGGAGGTTACAGAGGGTGACAAATGGGGTGTACCGAGGGTGCTGCAAAGGGGGCTGCTCCTGGGCACCCTGATATGAAGGGGGAGGGAACAGCACTTTTAATTCTTCAGTAGCTTAGAAACCACTTTTCTTAGCATTGGGCTGGGGAGAATAATTCACTGAACTAGGAAGCCACCCCGTGGTACCTCTCTATCTCTCTTCCCGGCCTCCACAACAATAGCTGTACAGTAGCTCACGTCTCTGCCAGCTAACCTAAAGGCTGGTTTCAGGCCATGTGTCCCAGGCCAAAAACAACATCGGCCAACAGCTCAGTGTCAGATACGTCTGCGAAGGTCAGGGCCTGATTGTGAAGGGCCTTGAATGCCCAAGTGAAAGCGTTTGACCTGGACAGATCAGAGGGTGACCTGGGTTTAAATGCAAGCTGTTCTTCTTACCACCTCTACGGTCTTCCTCTCTGCTGGCCTCAGTTTCCTGATCTGTACTGCAGGGGGTGGTTAGATGGACATCCAAGATCCTTCCAATTTTAAGTCCCATGTTCTGAGGAAATGTGTTTAATAGACAATAGTGAGTGAGTGGCTCTCTTTGCTAAAGGCAGTCCCTGCCCTCAAGGAGCTTACAATCTAATGGATTTACCATTAGGCCTTCAAGACTCCCAGTCTGGCTTTCTGCCCACCAGGCTGCTTCGGTGTGTCAAAGAGATGGGTGTTGAAGGAGAATGCCCTGTTCCTGGTTTCCAAGCCTGTTCTCCATGGAGCCATGATGACTTGAGAGGCAGGATAGTACAGTGGAGAGGATGCTGGACTTATAGTCAGGAAGACCTGGGTTCAGATCCCACCTCGGACCCTTACTAGCCCTCTGATGTTGGCCAAGCAATTTAATTCTTCTGGGTTTTGGGACCATCCTTTCCCCGGCCTTCAGTGTTCTATCATAGGGTGAAGGCATAGACTTGGCTAGATGCTGAACATGTGTGCCCCATCTGGAAGGCAGAGTCAGTTTTACAGTTCGCTGAGCCTTCCATGTTCAGGGAAGGGGGGGGTGGTCTCCTTGAGGATAGGGGAAGGACAAGGGCAGAGGAGTTGGGATTTAGCTTTTCTTCCTTCCCCATGAGCCAACTGTGGGAGCCCCCTCCAAGACAGGGCCTGGATTTGTTTGGGGGTTTTCTGGTTCTTGTGATCAGTGAGGGGTGGGGGCTTTGCATGGCTGAGCACTCCCTCCCATCCCCAGCTGACTCTGTGGAAAGGGACCTCAGAAGGCAAATGAGAGCAAGAGATAAGAGCCAAGTTGGGTAGTTTAGCCCCTGGGGTGATGGAGGGGCCCCCAGGGCAGTCAGCACTGAGGAGTCTGGGGACAGAGAGCCCTCTCCCAAATGAAGCCCAGAGCTGAACTCTCGGGGTCCTCCCTAGCCCAGGAACCTGGGATGCTGGGGGTGGGGGGAGTCTTCTAGCTCCAAAATCTCAGTCTAGGACAAGAGACAGCTGGGGCTGGAGAGCGGGGTGGGTCTTTCCCATTAACAGCTGGAAGCAGATGGGCGTTCTTGTCTGTGTCCCCCTGCCAGACCAGCTCTCCAGGCCTGTGGGTTCAGATTTTGTAAACACCCTCCCCTGGCTTCCCTCCGTGCCCTGCTCCTTCCCCCAGTCCATCCGTGTCCTCAACTCATCTCCTTAGCATCCCCACCCCTCTGGTCTCCCCATTCCCTGGGGTGTCTTTCCACCACCTCTGACCTGGACTTTGGTCTCAGCAGGCTGACAAAATAATAATAGTAATAACAAGCTATATTTATATAATAACAATAATAACAGCTAGCATTTATACAACACCTTAAGGTTTCCAAAGTGCCTTACAAATATTTCGTTTGGTCCTTATAGCAACCCTTGAAGGTAAGGGCTGATTATTTATCCCCATCGTACAGATGAGAAATCGGAGGCAGCCAGTTATGTCCCTTGCCCAGGGTCACACAGCAAGCAAGTGCCTGAGGCTTGATTTCAATCCGGATCTTCCAGACTCCAGGCCCAGTGCTGTCCACTGAATTCCCCCTTAAGGGGCTCACCCCATGCACCTGGAAACTGAGAACTCCATTTCCTCTGTCCGTTCCCCATTCCTTCCCAAGCATGGCTACAGCAGCAGCCTGTGGTGATGGAAAGAACACTGGCCTGCAACATATTCTCCACGTGACCTTGGGTTAGTCACCTGTACAACGAGTGGATAGAGTTAGATGACCAGAAGATCCCAAGCTCGCAGTTCCGATGCTCTGCTCTAGAGATCCTAGTCACTTGCCCTCAGTTTTCCCATCTGAAAAATGGGAATGATAATCAGGCGGCAGTGTGTCATAGTGGAAAGTGCTAGAAGGACTTGCATTCAAATATTGCTTCTGACCATTACTACCCGTGTAATCTTGGGGAAGTCACTTGTCCCCCGAGTCTCAGATTCCCTTTCTGTAAAACAAGAGGGTTAGAGTAGGTGACTGTTCAGGAACCTTCCGGCTCTCAGTCCGGCTCTGCTTCTTCCTGGTTGTATGGCCATGGACAAGTCACTTTGCCTGTCAGAGACTCAGTTTCCTTATCTGTGTGATAGGACTTGCAGTACCTTGTTGTGGTGTGGTGGGGAAAAGCATTTTGCAAACTTTAAAACTTGATAGAAATTTGAATTATTTTTTCCATGCAAGGTCTTCCACTTTACGGCCTTGGGCAAATCATTTCCTTTCTCCAGGCCTCAGTTTCCCCATCTGTAAAATGAGGTTGGGCTGTCTGATTTATGACATCCTACCATATTCTTGGCCTTGTGTGTTTGGGGGGTGCGGGGGGTGGGAGGGAGTCGGTACACTTTTTCTAGATAATCTATACCTTATCTAGGCAATTCATACCACATCCAGGCAATTCCCACATTGGCAGGAAATTTCTACCTTCTCCAGGTAATTCACACCTCATCCTGACATTTACACCATATTCAGACAATTCCCACATCATCCAGGGAAGTTCCAACTTCTCCAGGTAATTCACGCCTCATCCTGACATTTACACCATATTCAGACAATTCCCACATTGGCCAGGGAAGTGCCACCTTCTCCCGGTAATTTACGCCTCATCCTGACATTTATACCATATTCAGACAATTCCCACATCATCCAGGGAAGTGCCACCTTCTCCAGGTAATTTATGCCTCATCCTGACATTTACACCATATTCAGACAATTCCCACATCATCCAGGGAAGTTCTACCTTCTCCAGGTAATTCACGCCTCATCCTGACATTTACACCATACTCAGACAATTCCCACATCGGCCAGGGAAGTTCCACCTTCTCCAGGTAATTCACACCTCATCCTGACATTTACACCATACTCAGACAATTCCCACATTGGCCAGGGAATTCATACCTTATTCAGAGAATTTATATCTTACTGAAGAAATGGTAAAAAGGGAGGGATTTACCTCAGCATGCCTAGCATTCCCATAGTGGGCTTCCAGGCTTCACTTGAAGCCCCCTAATGATGGAGGACCCACTATCTCCTATTCCATATTCCTCAGATGAAAAAGCCACAGTCTGCCACAAAGAGTTTGGGAACAGACAATGCCAATAGTTAAATATAAACAGAGCCCAAGAAGTGACTCCAGGCACCACGTGCTAAGTGTCAAGATTAGACACAGGCATTAAACTCACTGAGCTGGTCCTCGGAAGGATGGGCAGGACACAGACCTCTGCTCCACCCAGCTCGGGCCCTACCCCCACCTCCTTCCAGCCAACTCCTTCCAGGCCCCAACTTCTGTCACCCACCCCAACTCTGGGAGCCTGATCCAGCTGGGCACCTGCCTTGCTGGCCCTGGCTCCGTCCAGCTGTGGCCTTCGGCCACATGAAGGGGTAAGGTGGCCAAGTCTAGGCCTCCCCTGAGTGTGGTCTGGGCTCTTCAGGGATGTGGGGCCCAGATGGCATGGCCTGGGAGGAGGGCTGGGGCACGTGCCAGGCTTGAATCTCTCTTCACTCTGGCCCCGCCCCAGTGCCAGCTGGTGAGAAGGCTACCAGCCCCTGCCCAAAATTGGCTCTTGCTTTCATGTGAAAACCTTGACTCTGGGTTCACCAACAGTCACTTCCTCCCAAGAAACCCAGTTCTGGGCAAGGCTGTTTACGGCTGGAGGTGTTCGAGAAGAGTCTGGGTGACCCTGTGTCGGGGTGTGGGAGAGGGACGGTCTTGTGCAGGTCTGGGTGGGGCTGCGTGGCGGCTGAGGTGATGACGATGATGATGATGATGGTGAAGATAATAACAAGAGCTGACATATGGCACCTACGAAGTGCCAGGAGCTGTCCTAAGCGCCTTACAAATATCATCTCACAGCCTTGGGCATGAGGTGCTATTATTATCTCCATTTTACAGAGAAGAAAACTGAGGCAGACAGAGATGAAGTGACTTGCTCAGCTAGTGTCTGAGGCAGGATTTGAACTCAGATCTTCCTGACTCCAGGCCCAGCACTACCCACTGTGCTACATAGCTGAGATTCCTTCTAGATCTGAGGCTCTGTGATTTTGTTACCATGTGTCTCGGCCCTTCCCAAGGGATACCTCAGGGACAAATCGACAGAACCACGGAGGGGTCCTTGATGAGGCCCAGACAATTCCCAGCCCAGCCGACAATGTGGCATGAGATTTTGGGGCCTCTCTGGGACTCAACATCCCCATGGGTAAAAGAGGACAACTTCCTCCTGAGTGCTTGCATAGCAGGAAGAAGCGGGGCTGCTAGAGGCTCCTGGCTCCTGGGGTGGGGGCAGCGGAGTCTGCTGCTTAGGATGACGCATTTCTGATCACAGATGTCATCAGTTCCCTGGAGCCCGGCTGGCACGGCCCCTCGTTACGACGAATGGCCCTTCATCCCACGGCGTCTTCAGGTGAGTCCCCCCAGCCCCTGGTGCAGCAGGGCAGGGGACAGGGACGGCCTCTGTCCTACCTCTGTGGGAGCCTTCCTCGGGAGGGGAGAGTGGGGCAAAGGTGCCTCAGGCCTTCAGGCAGGAGGGGGCCTCTGAAGCAACACTAGACTTTCAGTGATTCCATGCATGCCCAGGTAGGCTGGGGAAGGTAGCGATACAGGCAGACCCCTCCTTGTCCTGGTGGGAGCCCTGGAAGGGGCTAGAGGAAGCCGAGAGATCCCTTGGAAAGGACAGCCCTGCCCAGACCCTCTCCACCCTGAGAGGAAGGTGGCAGAAGGAGGATTCATGTGCCCATTGCACAGAGGGGAAAGCTGAGGCATAGAAGGGAGGAATTAAAGCAGCCTGGCCAATAAGATCTCAGAAACAGGGCATGAAACACAAACCTGGAACCCGGAGCTTGGAGGGGGGGGGTTGTGGTTTGGCCAGGACGACAGAAACAATGGGGTCTTCCTTCCCCATCCAAGCGAGGGGAGGGTCAGCCAAGGCCAGGGGTGGGGAGGAAGACTTTGCATCTTTACAAGGGCTCACACAGCCTGGTATAACCATGGAGACCCGGCAGCTTCAGCAACAGGAGTGTTTCTGTGGGTCTGGAGGAGAAGCAATTAACCCCCAGTTACCACTGGGAAGTCCGAGGGCTCCTGGTCCCGAGAGTGGCGGGCCTCCAGCTCAGGCCCAGTCTTCCAGCCAGCCCCCACCCCCAGCCCCAGCTGCTGGCCTGGAAGGCAGGCAGCCTTTTCTGTCCTTGGAGCTGGAGAAGGTTCGCTCCATCGCTTCCCCTCTTTCAGACCCAGATCCGAGAGCCCAGTGAGACTCTGGGGAGGCTCCCTCAGACAAGGAGGGCCCTGGGGTCGTTGGTCAGAACACGAGTAGATTTGGCCAGGGAAAGGAGGGCAGCTCTAGGCCAGGGCAGCCAGCCAGCCACAGGAAATGGCAGAGGTGGGGGATGTAGGGGAAAGAGCCATGGTCAGGGAGGCCTTGCCTGGCTCTGCCACTGACTCACCGCATGACCCTAGCTCAGTCACATCCCCTCTCTGGGCCTCAGTTTTCTCATCAGTAAAATGGGAAAGAATGTCACAGGGAGCCAAGGGGAGAAAAAATGGGGAAGGCTCCCCCTTACCTCACCCCCGGGAACAGAGAAAAGGTGGTGGGGTCTGAGCAAAAGCTCAGCCCATGTCCTTGTCCCCCCTCAGGTTGTTTGAACTGCAGCAAGGTAGCTGAGCTGACGGAAAGGCTAAAGGTGCTGGAGGACAAGGTCAGTGCCCCACCCCAGAAGCAGCTGCCACAGTCTCCCAACTATCCCTCAGGTGCCGCTTGAATACCACCTGTGACGGGCAGCTCATTATCTTTCCTCACTTCCTGCACCCCAGGCTTCCCCTTTGCTCCTCCCTCAGCCTGTCTCATTGGTTACTTAAAGGTGAGGAAGGTCTTCCTTATGCTGAACTAAAATCTTCGATGTGAATACCACTCTACCTTGTGAGTTGGGGGTCTGCCAATGCAGATTAAGTCTGCACCTGCTCTGCAGGTTACAGACCAGAGCACTTCGGGGTTATGTGATTTGCCGTCATCGGTCAGAGGCAGGGACTCGAACCCAGGTCTTCCTGGCTCCAGTGCCAGGTCTCATCCACGACACCATTCAGCTGGCTTTTCTTTTTTTTTTTTTTTTTTGGCTAGGCAATGGAGTTAAGTGACTTGCCCAGGATTACTCTGCTCACTTTTATGTCTTGGAATATAAGCTCCTTGGAGCAGCTAGGTGGTGCAATGGATAGAGCACCGGCCCTGAAATCAGGAGGACCTGAGTTCAAATCTGGCCTCAGACCAACCATTTGATACTTACTAGCTGTGTGACCCTGGGCAAGTCACTTAACCCCAATTGCCGTAAAAAAAAAAATTTAAAAAACCGAACCAAGAATATGAGCTCCTTGAGGACAGCACTGGCCTTGCTTCTCTTATGTTGGTATTGCCAGCACTGAGCACAGAGCCTGGCACAGAGTAAGCCCTTAGTAAACATGGGTTGACTTGTCGGTTCACTTCTTGATAGCCACACAGACATTTGGAGAGACCAATTGTGTTCCAAGTTCAGTATTTAAGTATCTGATTCCCTGTTCTGGTCATCTGGGCAGTTTATATTTGGTCGCTATCGATCCATCAGTGCAGGGTCGAGACCCACAGTGTAAGAAGTGCTGAAGGGGTCACGAGTGGAAAACGTTTAAGCCCTGGACTAGATTGTCAGTTTTATTACCATGTAATTGGGCAAACCAGCTCCTAACAGTCACCTTTATTACTTTTATTTCATCTTCATTGCTTGTGAATTCACTCTTTTCATATTCGATACTAATAACTTAGTACTATTACCAATAACCGTCGCCGTCATCCTGACTTCTGTCTTGCCACTGGCCTTCAATGACCCAGGAGGAGAGAGTGAGGCTGATGACTGTGCCCTGCACAGCCCTGCCTCACTTCAATCCAATTCACTCACGAGTCAATACATCACCCATCACACCGGGATGTCTTTGGCCTTCTTTGGGAGCAAAGGACAAACAGCCAGTTATTTGGATTTCTTCCTTCTCTTCGTAGCTGCCTCTTTCAAAGCTTCGAGCGGGGAAAGGAAAGAGAGATAGACATAGGTGGATGGTAGGATCAAGTGTGGACTTTTTCAAATATGGGGATGAGCTGGGTTTAATGGTAGGCGGTTGGAAACAGCCAATGGAAAGAGAGAAGCTAAATGAGAGCGTGGGGGATGCTATAGGAGGCAATCTGCTGGAGAGGATGGGATGGAAGAGGATTGCACGTGGACATATTGCCTCGGCAAAATTCTCTTCATCAGAAAATGGAATTAAGGAGATTTTGTTGTGCAGTCATTTCCAACTCTGTGCCCTCATCTGGGGTTTTCTTGGCAGAGATACTGGAGCGCTTTGCCATTTCCTTCTCTACTCATTTTATAGATGAGGAAACTGAGGCAAACAAGGTGAAGGGACTTGCCCAGGGTCACACAGCTGGTTGTTGATGACCCTGGAAGAGAGAGTGAGGCCGATGCAGCTGATGCAGCTTTGTGCAGCTCTGCCTCACCTAAATGCAATTCATGGGCAAGTCAACACATCACCCTGTGATGTCATTGGTCCACTTAGAAAATGAAAGACAACAGCACATCAGAGGCAGGATTTGAACTCAGGTCCTCCTGACTCCCGGCCTGGCACTCTGTCCACTGTGCCACCTAGATGCTAAGGAGGAGATAGTGGTGGGTTGTTTCTGAGTGATGTGAGATTGGGAGAAGGGGAGCTCTTTGCCAATGGATGGCCAAATGAATTAGGAGGTGAGAAAGGGGAGGAAAGGTAGGAAGGAGTCAGCCAGATTAAAGACAGCTGTAAATGCCGAGTTCTAGTAACTGTATTTTTGTTAGCGTGGCCCAAGAGCCAGCGGCCTTCCTCACAGAAGTCTTGCCACTCGCTACCTGTCTTACCTTGGGCAAATTGCTTTTCTCTGGGTCTCAGTTTCCCCCTCTGTCCAATGAGGGAAGTTGATCTGATGACCTACAAGGTTCCTTCTGGCTCTAGACCCATCATTCTCTGAATTCATTTAATCTCTCTGGACCTCGTTTTCATTAGCCGTAAAATAAGGAGATTCAATTAAATGACCACTGAGCTTCCCCCAGTTCTAAACTGATGATTCTCTGACTCCTCCAACACATCAGTGTCTTTACTAAAAGTCTGAAGCACAAGGGATTAATATTTGAGCATCCCATGCCCTCTCTGTCATGCCCTTCTTTATCAAGAGTAGCCCAGTGGGCAGGCCAAGTCATCAACTCTGGACTCTTGGAGTTGAGTCCCATGGTTCTCAAACTTAAAAATCGTTGGGAATCCTCCAGAGATCTGTTGTTTGTGTGGGTTCTAGCCATGAATATTTATTTTATTAGAAATTAAAATATCTTACTATGGTTATTAAAATCATTTTGAGCCTGCAGGCTCCCTGAAGGGTCTGGGGACCTCCGAGGATCCCAAGACTGCACTTGGAGAACCAGTGCCTAAGTCTATGGCCCTCCCCCTTGCCCTCCCTTGGGTAGGGCTGACATTGCTGAAATATCCTTTGCCAAGGAGAATGACCTTTGCACTGGAAAAAAGCAGAGCAAAAATGGCAAAGAGGGATCAAATACCCCAAATAAGTAAGAAATAAAGTTAGATGGAATATATGCTTTTAATTTTTAGCAAGCGTCTGCAGCAGCAGCACTTAAGCCTAGGTCTTCTGGCCAAGGTGAATTATAGCATCTAAGACAAAGAACTGGTAAATATGAAGACTGAGCTGCTGTCAGGGAGATCATGGAGCACCAAGAGTGGTGATGCTCACCTGCCTTCAGGCCCCACTACCAGGGAGGCTGAGGCTGGGGGAACTCCTAGGCTCAGGCAGTCACCTGTCTACACTAAGTCTGACACCAATCCGATGAGCCCCATGGAGGAGGGAGCTAGTGTGTTGCCTTAGGAGGGGTAAATCAGTCTGGAAACTGAGCAGGTCAAAGCTCCTATGCTTGTCTGTAAGGGGCATTCCCATGAATAGTTCCTCTACTTCCAGTCTGGGTGAGATGGGGAGACCTAGTTAGAAGGAAGAAAGGAAGGAAGGAAGGAAGGAAGGAAGGAAGGAAGGAAGGAAGGAAGGAAGGAAGGAAGAAGGAAGGAAGAAAGAAAGAAAGAAAGAAAGAAAGAAAGAAAGAAAGAAAGAAAGAAAGAAAGAAAGAAAGAAAGGAAAAGAAAAGGTAGGAAAGAAAGAAAAGGAGGAAGAAAGAAGGAAAGAAAGAAAAAAGAAAAGGAGGAAGAAAGAAGGAAAGAAAGAAAAAAGAAAAGGAGGAAGAAAGAGAGAAGGAAAGAAAAGTAAAGAAGAAGGAGAGAGAGAGATCTCAGAGAGCAGGAAAGGTGAAGCAAGACTAGAAGAGGCCACATATGGTCTTGACTTTCAAAAAGAGAAAGAGAATGGAACCTACAAATCTAGGCAAATGGGCTTGACTTCAATTCCTGGCAAAATTCTAGAGCATATCATTTAAAGGAAGGTTAGTGAATGTCTCAATAAGGAAGCAATGATCACATAGAGCCAATGTGGCTTCATCCAGAGCAGCTCATGCTGGACAAAGCCTCTTCTTTGTAGGAGGGTCCTGAGGCAGAGGAGCAGAAGGTTGTAGAGGCCATCTACCTAGATCTCAGCTGAATGTCGAAGGCATCTCCCACTCTTGTAAGCCCATCACTTGGCCCTGTGCCTGGCACAAAGTAAACACTCGCTAAATGCTTGTCGACTTGACTATTCTTGAGCACAAGAGGACTAGACAAAAGCAGAATTATATGGATGTAGAACTGGTTGAATGGCTGGATCCAGAGAATCGCCGTTAACAAATCCATGTCAGTTTGAAAGGTCTCTAGCAGAGTCCTCAGGGATCTGGGCTTGGCCCTGTGGTATTTAGCATTTTTATGAATGATTTGGATTAAACACCTTAATATCACGTACTGAATTTTACACGATCGTGCGTGTACAACATAACAGATTGCTTACTGTCTCGGGGAAGGGGAAGGGGAGAAAGGGAGGCAGAGATAGAATTTGGAACTCAAACCTTTAAAAAATGTTAAAAATTGTTTTAACATGTAATTGGGGGAAAATATCTTTTAAGTTATGCACTGAAAGGGATAGCTGGATAATAATCAGGATCCAAAAAAGGTTATGACATTCTGGAGAAGTGAGCTGAATTTAGTGGGACCTGATTTAATTGGGATAAATATAGGCATGAGTTCAAGAAGTCAACTTTATAAATGAAAAGATGGCTAGCCAGCAGTTCATCTGAAAAAGATCTGGGGACTTTAGGGGACCACAAGCTCAGTACGAGTCCATAGCATGTCAGGCAGCCAAAAAAGCTAGTGTCATCTTGGGCTGCAGCGAGAAGTTGAGGACTAGAGAGGTGCTGGTCTTTCTGTACTTGGCCCTGGTCAGACCGCATCTAGAGAGTGTTCAGTGCTGGGTGACACGGATTGGAAAGGATATTGATAAGTTAGAAAGTGTCCACAGAGGGGAGACCAGGAAGGGGAAGGGCTCTAAATTCATACCAAATGGGGATCAGGGGAAGGGATTGAGATGGAAAAGAGCGAGTCCAAGGGTACCATCTCCAAGCATTTGAAGAGCAGTCACACGGAAGAGGGATTGGTAGCCTTGTCCGGTCTGGCCCCGGAGATTGCAAAGGGGCGGACAGATTCAGGCCCCATGTAAGGAAGAACTCTAACAATGAGCACTCTCCCAAAGAGGACCGAGCACCGCTGCCTTGGGGGGTGATGGGCTGACTCTCAGCAGATTTTTCTTCCAACAGTCTAGATGACCACATGTTTGGAATATGGTTTAGAGAATTCTTGTTCATATCCTGGCTGCTCTAATTGACCCAGGAGGGCCCTTCTAGCTCAAAAATTGGGTGATTCTGAGTTAGTTACAGAAGGTTCTCCTCTCCCTGCCCCGCTCTGAGGCCTGGGCCTCCACCTGTCCACCCCCTGTCCATCTCACTCCCTTCCTCCCAGGTGTCAGTGCTGGCCCTAACCGAGCCGTCGTCGGCATCCCTGCCCCTTGGGGCTCCGCGGGAGGCCAAAGGGAGTGGGGACCCAGCCCTGCTGTGGGGGTTGCCAGCTGCCCAGGGGAGCCCTGGAGATGAAGGAGGCAGAGGTGAGTAAAGGCAGATGGATCTGAATTCAGATCCCACTGTAGACTCCAGTGGGTCAAAGGTAAGGGTATCTCGGGAAGGGGCCAAAGGAAAGAGTCAGAGCAAGGGAGTGGTTTCCCTCTGAAAAAAATGTCTCCCTCCAAGTGACTCATGGGGGTATAAAGGAGAGGTAGCAGGTGCCAGGCCCGGAGATCCGGAGGGGAAAGGGTGGGTTCTGCTCTGAGGATGGGCTGGGAGGAAGTTAACCAGAATAGGTCAGTCCAGGCTTCCTCCCTAGGGGTGGCTGAAGGGAAGGGGAGCTAATGATTCAAAGGGGATCTGGTGCTGAAGACCCTTCCCAGGCCCCCTGACCAGGGCACAGTAAGAGCAATGATGGATAAGCCCCCCATTCCCTCCCCATGCCAGGGCCTCCAGGAGCTGGAGAGCGACGGAGGGGAACCATGCCCACCCGGGACGGTAGGTATCATGGCCTTTTTAAGACTGGGGAGAGGGGTGACCTTTAGCTGGATCCTGGGGAAGGGAGAGACTATGGAGGCCAAGAAACCACAGGACACCCCCCCACCCCCCCAAACACTTCCTGGCTTATATCCTACGCCTCCTAGCTGGGTCCTGACAGGCGTTTCCCTCCTTTGTAGGCCTAGGAGGTGTTCCTGGGCCACCAGGCCCTTCTGGCCCCAAAGGAGACACAGGGAGCCGGGGCCCAACCGGAGTGCCTGGGCTGAAGGGCCCAGCTGGGCCGCCAGGTGAGTGTGGGGCACACCATACCAGGGGCCCTGGAGGCCCTGGCAGATACAAGGACCTCATCCTGGGTGGATGGGGCTGGACTCAAGAGGGCGGCATCGGGAGCTGGGAAGGCACAGCTGAGTCTTGGCTGTCCCTCCTGCCCACCCCCAGTGTCTAGCATAGTGCCTCACACACAGAGTATATCAACCTGTCAAGACCTAGGCTTCCAGGATGTGAGAACTCCCTCCCCCAAGGCAGATCACCGGTCTACACCTGGCCTATAACTTCAGGCTTAAAGAGCTGCCTAAGGCTTAGCGAGGGGCGCGAGTGAGTTACCCAGAGTCACACAGCTGGTGAGTGGAGACAGGACTTGAACCGTCCTCTGACTCTCAAGTTCAGCACTCCATCCATCATTACACACAGTAGTCAATCGACAGGCACTTATTAAGCACTTACTGTATGTGCCCAGCGCTGGATGGATGGATGGATGGATGGAGGAAAAAGCATTTTATTGAGTGTTCATTGTATGCGAAGCACTTAATGTAGTAGGCACTTAATAAGTGAAAGCTAGCTATTCAAAGGAACCCCATGGGGAGTTCTTCAGAAACACCCTCTGCTTTATCTGTTGTCCAAAGGGGACTTCTCCGCTTGGATGTCCCATGGACATCTCAAACTCAATGTGCCAAAAAAAAAAAAAAAGCCCTCATCATCTTTCCCCACTAATTCCAACACAACTGGACTCCTAGCTATTCCCCAGACTTGACCTGCCATTCCCCACCTCCAAGCCTTTGCTTAGCTTGTTTCACACTCCTGGAAAGCTCTCCTTCCCCACCCCCACTTCTTAGCCTCCCTGGATTTCCTCCATTCTGGTGCCACCCCCAATCCAGTGGTTAGTATTCTCATATGACTTTGTATTTACTGATTTGTGTGCATATTGTAAACCTCCCCTCCTCCCCACCAGGGTTACAACAGGGTAAATTCCTTGAGGTCAGGGATTATTTTGAGGAACTCAATAAATATTTATTGAATCGAATAATCCCATCTCCCCAGTTAGACTGCAAGCTTTCTGAGCTCAGAAACAATGGTTTCTGCTTTTTTCCCCCTCTCCCCACTCTCCAAGGTGCTTAGAGCAAGATTCTATGCACATGGTATTGATTAATTATCCCTGCAGCTCACTTCTTTTCTCATTATTATTTTCCAGGACCCCAAGGGCCACCTGGCAGCCCAGGTCAGGATGGGGCTAAGGGAGAAAGGGGCCCCCCAGGACCTCCTGGGCCCCCAGCCCCAACTGGACCCTCCACAGCCCAGATCTCCGAACAGGGTGAGTTTCCCAAGTAGGGGATGGGATGTGGAGCCCCTAGAGTTGAGAATGGGAACCAAGGGTGGGAACCAGCTGAGAGGGAGGGGAGAAACGCCACTTTAGACACATTTAGAACTGAGGTGGGAACTGAAAGCCAAGGATAAAACTCTACTTCCCAGAGTCCCTGAGAAGCCAGAATCCTGGCTCCTTCCTGCCTCGAGCCTGGAGGCTTCTGAGCGCCTGACCCTTAACAGCATGCAGAGAGAGTTCAAAGGCCACTTCTGGTGCCATCTTCTTCCTCTGAGCTCCCTTCCAGAACTATCCCAGGAGCCCAGTGACCCAGGCTGGCCCAGGCCCTCCTCTGAGTTGTCTGACCTGTTCCCTTATACGCACACACCCCAAGAGGCCTGGAAGCCTCCCATGTCAGAACCAGAAAGATTATAGAATCTAGAACAGGGCTGGGGAACCTGAAGCCTTGAGGCCCACATGTGGCCCTCTGGGTCCTCAAGTGCCATCCTTTGAATCCAAACTTCACAGAACAAGTCCCCTTAAGGTTCCCCACCCCTGATCTAGAACACTGGAGCAAGAAGGGACCTTAGAGAATAGAACATAGAATATTAGGGCTGGAAGGGCCCTTAGAACAAAGAACAGAGAAAGCCAACCTTTACTTTGACTTAAGGCATTGAAAGGCCCAGTGAAAATAGGAATGTTCCTAGGGAGGGGACACTCCTAAAGCCCACTCCTAAAGCCTTGATTTGCCATGGACACCTGGGTGAGAATTTCCTGTTTGTCAAAGTACACGATGGGGGATGAGCTGGGAAAGATGCAGGAGGTCAGGCCTGGGAATGCGCCTCCGTGGGGGTCTGCAGGGAGGGGCTGAGCTCATAGAGATCTGAGGTTTTTAGATCTGGGAGTTCTAATCCAACCTTATCCTTAACCAAGGAGGAACCTAGCCCAGAAAAGGGAAATAATTTGGCCAAGATCACAGAGGAGACCCAAACAAGCTTTATCTACTTTCCAGGATGGTCAAAGCCTGACCTAGGTCTGGAGTTCGAAAGGACAGGGTCACAGAACTAGAGTTGGAAGGGACCTCAGAGGCCATCTGGCCCAGCCCCTCATTTTACAGAAAGGGAAACTGAGGCCAAGGAGTTAAGTGACTTGCCCAAGGTCACTCAGGTAGTAGGTGATGGTGTCAGGTGCTCTGTCTCCATGTTTTACCATTCCAAGGTTTGAGGCCTTCTTTGCCAACCAGCATGGGGGCTTCCGGCCCTCCCCTCTCCTACACCTACACACTCATACAAAAAACCACCAGTGGCATAGACTGAGCTAGGAAAGCTTCGCCCCCTGGTGTCCAAACCTGGTTCTGCTTCCAATGATCTCCCTGAAAGAAATAGACCCAATGCCTTGTCCGCCATGTCTGAAGCTAAGAGCTAAGAGACAGGGGTGGCTGCTAGAGGGTCAGGGACCTAGCTTTGAATTCTGGCTCTGCTGCTCATTAGCGAGGGGGCATTGGGTAAGCTGCTTCCCTTCTCTGGGCCTGAGTTTCCTCACCTGTAAAATGAGGAGGACTGAATTCAATGATGTCTAAGGTCTCCTACCGCTCTAAATCTACAACCTTGTGTAATCTCTCCTGGCTGCTGTCTCTGTCCCAGAACACACCAACCAAGGCCCTGTCTGGCTCGCAGGTAGTTGGTTATAAGGGGCTTAAGGTGCCCCCTCCCTAAGAGGCATTTGTATTTTAGCATGCAACTCCTAAGGAATAACTCTCTAATAATGGAATTTCAGGCACTGTGACATCATAGAGAAAGGGGAGTCTGCCTCGAGGCTTTATGCCAGAGTGCTGGACTTAGGGTCAGGAAGGCCTAGGTTCAAATCCTACCTCTGGCCCTTATTAGATACATATTAGGCCAGTCACTTAAAATTCTTCAAGCCTCAGTTTACTCATCAGCAAAATGAGGTGTAATAACTATAGCCATAGATTTAGGCCTGACCCCTGGTGAAGCGCAGACCATGCCTCAGGATGCTGTAACATGGCATGGGATCACAGATTTGGAGAGGGGCCTCGGAGGTCATCTCCACCTGCCCCTTCATTTTGTAGATAGGGAAACCGAGGCCCGGAGAGGCGAAGGGTTCACCAGGTCCTGTAACTCCAGCTCCAGAGCAATGAGACATCAATGAGACGTAGCACACCCTCAAGTGTCAATGGAAATGTCAGATGGCTCTTCTTCCTATCATCGCCATCCTCGTGATCTTTACAAGGTGGCCGCCCGCTCCACTAATGCTTTAGGCCAACCCAGCTCAGGGCACGTGTGGCAGAATTGTAAGATTTCAATCTGGGACGGAATTAGGCAATATTTGGTCCAACCCCCTCATTCAACAGAAGGGGAAACTGAGGCCCAGAGTGGGGGAATACCTTGACCAAGGTCACACTCTTGGAGCTAATGATAGATGACCTTTTTTTTTTTTTTAGGCAATTGGGGTTAAGCGACTTGCCCAGGGTCACACAGCTAGTAAGTGTTAAGTTTGGTCTGAGGCTGGATTTGAACTCAGGTCCTCCTGACTTCAGGGCCTGTGCTCTATCTGCTGCGCCCCCTAGCTGCCCGGATGATCTTATTTTAAAAAAGAGAAAGGGGTCTGAAAACTCTAGGTCAGTGAACTTGACTTCAATTCTTGGCAAAATTCTCCAGTGTGTTATTAAAGAGATGGTTAGTGACCAATAGGAAAAGGAAACATTGATTACAAAGAACCAGCAAAGCTTTATGGAAACAGGTCATGCCTAGGCATCCTGAGTTCAAATCCTGCCTCAGACACTTACTAGATGTGTGACCCTGGGCAAATTGCTTAGCTTCTGTTTGCCTCAGTTTCCTCATCTGCAAAATGGGAATAATAATAGCACCTACCTCCCAGGGTTGATGTGAGGATCCGCTGAGATAACATGTAAAGCACTCTGTATAGATGCTAGGTATTATTATGCCACACTAACCCCCATTTCTTTTTTGGACAGGATTACTAGACTGAGAGATCAAGAGAATTCTGTAAATTAGATGGCATTTACTTAAATTTTGGCAAAGCTTTAAGAAACTTTCATGCTCTTCTTGCAGATAAGATGGCGAGAGGGGATTAGAAGATAACACTATTATGTGGATTTGGAATTGGTTGAATGGTTGGACTCATGGAGAAGTCACTAATGGCTGGTTCCATGTCACTTTGAAAGGAGACTCTAGTTGAGGGCCATGGGTCACCCAGGGCTATTTAACATTTTTATCTGTGAGTTGGAAAGATGGCAGGCTTACAAAATTTTCAGGAGACACAAGACTGGAAGGTATAGCTAACACAACAGATAATAGTTAAGATTCAAGATGTTATTAACAGTCTAGAACATGGTGTAGAATCAAATATTAAATTTAAAGAAATGTGAAGTCTTACACTTGGGTTCAGAAAATCAACATTGCAAGCATAAAAGCAAGGGGCATGGGGGAAGATATGGTACATAGCAGTTTGTCTGAAAAAGACCTGGGGGTTCCAGTGGACTACAAGTTCAATATGAGTTGGTAGTAGAGTAAAGCAGCCAAAAATGGAATTTTTAACTATATTAAGAGGGTAGAGCTTCCAGGAACAGGAAAGTAATAGTCCCACCTTTCTCTGTCCTAGTCAGATCATATATGGAGTATTGTGTCCAATTCTGGACACCGCAGTTTATGAAGGATGTCAATGAGTTGGGGTGCCCAAAGGAAGGCAGCCAGGATGGGGAAGGGCCATGAACTCATGTTGTATGAGGAGCACTTGAAGGAAATTAGTTTATTTGGCCTGAAGGAGAGAAGGTTCGAGCCTGAGAGTGGGGATGGAGGAGAAGAAATTTTGTGATGCCTTGTTATAATGATTAGCTTCCTTAAAGCCCTGGGACAATAAGTGGCCCCATAAGGTCCACATGATTCCTTCTTCACCTTTAGAGAGATTACTGTAGTGGAAAAATTATGAGTTCAGTCATAATTGCTCTGAGTTGTCCCCCGTTAGAAAAATTCCTAACATCTAGGCAAAGGTTGGGCTTTCTGTCTAACTTTACTTTTATATCTATCTCTAGAATGCTGGGCCTATAGTCAGAAAGGCTCATCTTCCTGAGTCCAAATCTGGCTTCAGACGCTTATTAGCTGTGTGATCCTAGGCACTTAACCTTTGTTTACCTCAGTTTCCTCATCTGTAAAATGAACTGGAGAAGGAAATGGCAAACCACTCCAATATCTTGGCCAAAAAAACTCCAAACAGGGTCACAAAGAGTTAGATACAACCCAAATGACTGAATAGCAGCCACTGTCCTCTTTGTGGTTCAGATGAAACTCAGTTTACTGTAAACATTAGGGTTAGGGTTGCTATATATTTACATAATATCATTAATGTTTCAATTAATTTATTAATAATGATTATATATTATAATGATTATATAAATGTTTATACAAATATAATTATTCCTTTTATATATTATACAGTATATGATTTATGTAAGTATTTGTATGAATATATAAATTATATAAACAATAGTATTAACTTTTTAATTAATTTATTAGTAAATAACAATGTATTGTATAATAGTGGCAGTAGATGGGCAAGTACCAGGAAGGAAAGTTGAGGAAAGAGCCAACCTTTTATTGGGACGCCCCCCAAGCTATTGTCTTCTGATCACCAATGCTTATACCGCCATTGACCCTCCTTGATGTCCCCGTTCTCTCCCATAGTTCAGTCTTCTCTTGGCTTCTCAGAAGTGTGTTGGAAAGCCGCTTGCTCCATCCCCACTCTAGATAACCGGATGGTTTTATTTATGAGCCAGGGGTACAACAAATCCCCCAGCCAGTTGGAAAAGACCTTTCTGTCTGTCTGTTAGCATTTCACTTCACCAATGGCTTTCAAAGACTTTTTGCACTTACTCTGATAAGACTTGTTCTTACTGAGTTAAGATTCTGGAACTAAAATGGAGTGGTTTCAACCCCACCCTTACAACAGAAGAGTTATGTTGCCTGTCTGTGTATTAGATCTGTTATATGAAAGAGAGATCAGCTATGTTCTGCTTGACCACAGAAGGCCACACTGGAAGCGATGAGAGAGAGTTACAGAAAGGCAAATTTGGACCTGACACAAGAGAAAACTTCTTAGTGCTTAGCGTTGACCCTCTGGGGAACAGGTTTTCGTGGTATGTTGCCCCTCTCTGGAGGTTTCAAATAGAAGCTCGAAGACTAGTGGTTGGAGCCCTTGTAGAAAGGATTCTTGGTGGGCTCTGGATGACATCTGAAGTCCCTTCCTCCTCAGAACTTGTGAGAGAAAGGGAACCCAACTCTGAGATTCTGTGATCTGCCTGACAGCCCTTCACACCTTTGAAGACAGGGCTGATCTCCTCCCCCTGTCTTCTCTACTCTACAACAACTGTCTCTAGTTCCTTTAACCAACTCTCTCATGGCATGGTCTCCATTCTTCCCCTTCTCCCATTCTAGTCCCCCTCTTCTGAATAAAAAATATGTCCCCCAGAACAGCTGCCCAGGGCAGACCTTACTCCCCAGCCTGGTGCTGCTATTGCAGCCCACAATGTCATGCACTTTTTGGCCGCCATGTTGCACCATTGACCCCCACTGAGCTGGCAATCCAGTCCCAAAAAGTTCCTCCGTACCACCCTGCCCTCGAAGAGCTTACATTCCACTGGGGAAGAGAGAGAAGGAAAGGCTGGAGTGCCAAGCCTCAAGGAGGTGAGGCTTGAGAGTGGACCCTGAAGGCTGAGCAGGAAGGTTGTAGTCCCTGCCCAATGCTACCCCATTGTCACTGTCCTCTTCCTTTGAAGCCCCCTGATAGCAGCCAGGATGCCAGTGGACCCTGGCATTCCTCACCTCCTCTCTCCCTCCAGGAGATCCACTACTCTCCAACACCTTCACTGAAACTGGGGGCCTTGGGATCCAGGGGCCTGCGGGCCCACCAGGCCCCATGGGGCCCCTGGGTAAGTCGGGTCCCAGAGCTGAGAAAGCTGGGTGGGGCTGATCTCCTGAGGGTGGGGATGGGAGGGTCCTGGGCCCCTGGTGAGGCTGGAAGGACAGATGAGAAAACAGGGGGGCACGCAGACAAGGGGAGTAACTCGGCCATCCAGGAGGGACATCAAGGACGGTGTAGTCACCCCTCTCTTGGACTTGGTCCAGTCCAGAGATGGGAGCTTATCTGACACAGTAAGGGGTCCCCTCTTCTCTCCTTCCAGGTCCCCCAGGTCCTCCAGGCCCAGTGGGCATTCCAGGCACACCTGGCCACAAGGTGAGTAAATCATCATGTATGTATTTATCTGTTTATATATTGTATCTCCCCCCTCCCATTCCTAAAGGTCAGGGATATACTTTGTATCTCTAGTGCCTAACACACAGTGGGCGCTCAATGAATGCTTATTGAGTTAGACTGTAATAAACATGAAGTTCCGCTCTTCTGGGAATTTGCCGAATCCTGAGGGCTCTGCTCCTGCCTACCCTACCCATGTTCCTCCAACAGACCCCTTGCTCAGTCAGTGAGCGCTCTCTCCAAACCCATCAGAGACCCTTCTCTTGAGCCCCGGCCCCAGCTATGCCTCCTGAGTCCCTCATCCCCTGGGGAAGGCAGGGAGCTGGAAGGACAGGGAGGCTGCCTAGCCTCTAATGCCTCCTCTCATCGTTCAGGGTTCACCAGGCCCACCTGGAGCTGATGGAACCAATGGCCTGCCGGGGGAGAAGGGTGAGCGAGTGAGTACCTGGACCTGCTATAGGAGGCCACCCAGCACTGCCCGGGCCGGAGGACTATGGGATTGGGGTGGGGGTGGGGGGGGACTGCAAATTTAACATGTGATATGACAGCCAAAAACTGAGGACATTTTAGGCGGCAGAAGGCTAGGGAGATGATGATGATAATAATAGTAATAATAATAATAATAATAATAATAATAACAGCAGCTAATGTGTAACAGAGCAGAGTACCACTGTCCTCTGCCCTGGGCAGACTTCAAATGCCTTTAGGGTCATCCTGCCCATCCCCCTTCATTTTACAAAGTGGGAAACAGAGGCCCAGAAATTTGTGACCTGCCCAAGGTACCTAACTTAGTAAGTGGCAGAACTGAGGTTTGAGCCAGGTCATAGAGTTGGAAGGGAAGTTAGAGGTAATTTAGCCCCCTGCCCTCATTTTACAGAGGTGGAAACTGAGGCTCAGAGAGGGAAAGCTATTTGCCAAGGATGTTGCACCTTAGTAAGTGACAGCTGGAATTCAAACCCAGGTCCTTTGCTGCAGACTCTGCTGTTTCCACTGTTCCAGAGCTGCTTCTGGATAAGCCTGGGTATTTCCAGGGGTAGCGTGAGAACTTCCTGAAGGCCCCCCCATCCTCCTGACTCCTCCAGGGGGGCTAGCGAAAATGCTCAGATTTAGGGCTGCCCTCTGGGTACCTGGGAGAAGGAGCTAAGGATGTCCCTGAATGGGGCCGGGCCTCCCCCGCCCAGCCCAGTGACAGCCCCACCCTGCTGTCCCTCAGTGCCCTAACTCTTCCCATCTTGTCCTTTTGCACAGGGCTACCAGGGGGAGCCGGGCCCCAGAGGTCTAGCAGGAGAACGGGTAAGTGAAGCTCCCTCTACCTCTTCCTCTACCTCCCTTCACCTGCTGATTGGCCTTCTCAGAGTCAGTCCCAGGCACTTCTCCCCACAATGGACCCATGGGCTGAGTAGCCCCAAGCGACAGGTTCTCTGGTGAGCCTAGCCCTGTCCCCAGCTGTCCCCGTCCTTCCCTCTCTCCCCCCAGGTCCCCTGGGAAAGGGCCGTGATGCCCCAGACCTAGGAGGACCTCTTTTATTGGGCCTCAGAGAGTTCACTTCTGTCTGTCTGTCTCTTGTTTCAGGGTGAACCAGGCCCCAAAGGTGACCCCGGAGAGAAGGGCCATTGGGTAAGATTGGTCCCCAGCCTTGGTTAGGAGGGCTCCTGGGCATCTCTCCCCCAACCCCTCTCCCCACTGGGCCCACAGGGAAGATAATGCCTGTCCATCCCACCCCCCACCCCCTGCCCCTAGACTCTAAGTGAGTCAGAAGGCCCCCGCCCCTACCCCAGGAAGGGGGAAGAAGGAGAGGGGACTGCTGTGGGGCCTAGGCCATCACAGAGGGGCCTGGCTCCGAGGGTCCCATAGACAAGCCCAGGTCTAAGTCCCTGTGCCCGGGGGTCAGTGAGAGGAGGGTCCCAAAGTGTGTATGTGTCACGGGGGAGGGGATGCACATAGGATTGGGACCTGGCAGGTCATTGCTCTCTGTCTCTGCCTCTATCTCTCTCCCTCCCCTCCCACCCCCCTAAACCCTTCAGACCCAAATGAAGGACAGAGCTGGGCAGCAGGCCTCTCACCCTAAGCAGGCCCAAAGCCAGACTACACCGTTCATTCGTTCAATCAGTCAATGAGTCAGTCAAGAAACACAGACCCAGCACATACCTAGTGCAGAGCCCCTCATCGGGATACCAAGAGATAACGGCCTTTCGATAAGACACAGGCCCTGCCCACAGTCTGATGAGGAAACAAGACCCAACCACAAAAAATTCCCATCCATCATACGAGCCGAGTTCATTAGAGGTGCCATGGAGAAGGGCCCATAGCTATCCAGCCGGGCATGGGCACCCCCCGGCTCTGGGGGAAGTGCCTCAGGCCAGTACATTGGGGTTCCCCGATCCATCCATCAATCAACACACACTTGATAGGGTTCAAAACCTAGAACAGCAAAGGACCCCAAAGTCCAACCCCCCATTTTACAGAGGAGGAAACCAAGGCTTGCCTTGGCCAGGGTCACCCAGGAAGGGTCATGGGGTCAGGACCTCAGAGGCCATCTCGAGCCACCCTCTCATTATACAGACAGAGAGGGGAGATCACTTGCCCAAGAACAGGGGTAGTAAGCTCCTACTATGTGCCAGGCACTGTGCTGAGCAAGTGCTGGGGATACAAAGAAAGGCAAAAGCATTTCCTGCCCTCAAGGAGCTCACAGTCCAGTGGGGAAGATCACATGCAGACAATCAGGGACACACAGACAGAGACAGAATAAACTGGAAATTATTACCGGAGGGAACACTCTAGAATTCAGAGAGCTCTGGAAAGGCTTCCTATAGAAAGTAGAATCTAAGCTGGGAGGCAGAGATGAGGAGGGAGGGCATTCCAGGCGTGGGGCACAGCTAAAGAAAACGCCCAGAGTCTAGACATGGAGAAACGGCAGAGAGGCAAGTGTTACTGGGTTGCTTCTTGGATTGGATAAGACTGGGCTGGATTAGAGTCAGAGAAGCTAAGAAGCACTATGTCCTGGGGAAAAAGCTTTGTCTGCCTTGGCATAGATCACAGAATACAGGGAAGGCAGTTAAGCTGAGACAAGCCTGGGAAGAACCTGCCAGGCAGGGGGTATGACACTTGGCTCAGCAGCAGTAGGGAGCTACCAGAGATGTTTGAGCACAGGAGAAGCATAAAGCGCTCTCTAAAGCTTAGCTGATATTCTTCCTGAGAAGGCAGAGGTCTGGAGGATGGATGGAAAGGGGAAATAGGAAAGGCCACAAGACCTGGCCAGGGACCGTTCTGACAGTGCAGGCAGGTGGTAACGAGGGCCCACCGTGGGATAAAAAGCAAAGGACAGAATGAGAGCTATTGAGGATGGATTGGGGGGGGGGGGCGCCTAGATTCACTGGGAGCCAGCCTGGGAAAAAATGCTGGACTGGGAAATAGAGGCTCTCAATCTGATTCCTGGTTCAGCCCCTGACTGGGTTACCTTGGGCAGGTCCCTTCCCTGGCCTCTGGCCTCAGTTTCCTCATCTGCCAGATGAAGCAGGAGACCAGATAGACCCAGCCCATCATCTCACAGAGAGGGAAGCTGGGGCCCAGAGTGGGAAAGGACTTGCCCAGGGTCAGCCCAGCAGTCAGTGGCAGAGCTAAGATAAAGGACAGGAGACAGTCCTCACTCCCTCATCTCTACCCCTCTTCCTCCATCTCAGAGCAAATGCTCTATCCTTTCCAAGATTTACAGGGATCAAAGGACCCCAGGGCTACCAGGGTCCTCAGAAGCCCACTGAGTCCAATCTCCTTATTTTACTCAGGAGGAAACTGAGGTACAGAGAGAAGTGACTTGCCCCAGGTCACACAGATAGTAAGTGTTAGAGGAAGGATTAGAACTCAGGACTTCAGACTCCCAAACCTGTGTTCTCTCTACTAGATAAAAGGGACGGCTGGAAACCCTCACTCACTCCTGCACACAGGAAATAGGAAGTATTTTCCATTCAGGAGACACAGTAAAAAGGGGAGCAGGACCCAGCAACACACTAGTGAGCAGACGCACACACACATGCACATATGCACACACACAGATAGATACATACACATGCACACAAATACACAGCACTCTGACCAGTGGTGGAAAGGGAACCTGAAGACCATCCAGGAAATGGCTTGGAATGGGGGTGGGGAGTAGGGATTACCCCAGAGGGGCCTCTTCTGCCTCCTCCACTCCCAGAGAGGGAATCAGGCAATACCAGGGCACCTTTCTCTATTCCTGGTGGTGGGGATCAGGGATTGATACAGCTGTGGGAATGGGCTCCTTCCCCAACTCCAGTCCTGCACGCCACCCCCTCCATCTGCTCAACTCCCCATACCTCCATCCCCTCTGGGAGGTCCCTGCTATCTCTTAGGCTTCCCTGGGAATGGGGGTGACCCCAGGACCTTGCTTTCTGTACCCTTCTGACACCTGTGACTCCCACAGCAGACACAGGTATCTAGCTAGGCCTCTCTGCTGCCTTCTTCCCACCCCCAAAATCTCCCATTCCTTGGGCATTGTCCACCCCAGCTTCCCCTATGATGTATGGTGCTCCCAGCATTTCCTGTGCCTCTAACCCTCAGGTAGGCCTGCACCCAGGCAACATGCATTTTCTCCTGTATTTATTACTCATAGTGTTATTTTTTTGAACCAAAGCTACAAATTTCATCAGTATAGAAAACCCTCCACTGATACAAGTTAGCACCTACTCAGCAACTTGTATCTTAAGAGTAACTTGAAACCCTGAGAAGTTCAGTTACTTAGCTAGGGTCATATAGCCAGTATGGAACAGAGGTAAACCTGGAACCCAGGGCTTCCTGCCTTCGAGGCTAGAGAGCTCTCTAATACTCCATGCTGTCTCTAAGTATTATTATTCTCTTATCATATGGTACTATAAGATTAACAATTCCCATTAACATTCTAAGATCATGGTTTTAGACCTAGAAGGGACCTAAGAGGATATCTAGAGTCTAAGCCATCTTGAACTTTTTCCACTTGCAGCCCACAGTTTAAGAAGCACTGAATTCTAGACTAGTCCCCTGATTTTATAGATGAGGTGACTGAGAAATGTTAAGGTGACCTACCCATGGTCACACAGCTAGTAAATGTCTTCAGCAGGAATTGAACTCAGGTCTTCCTGACCCTGAAGCCCACTCTCTCCAATAGGCAACACTGCCTCGATAATAATAGTTATTATACATCTCCGTCATATCTTTTGGTCTTCTTTGCAGTTGTGAGAGGGGACAGGAAGGAATGACTATCTCTAGTTTACAGATGAGGTCACAGAGGCCCAGAGAGGGGAAGCAAATTGTCCCAGGTCACTCAGCAAATTAATTGCATTACCAAGCTGCGATCTGTCTGCTGTACTACACTCCCCACACATGGCCCTCTCTCCTCTTCCCAATTACATCCCCACCCACTTTCATCCCCCAGTCACCCCCTCCCCAACTTGCCTGATAGGTACCAGGGACCCTGGCTCATGCCTGTCTACCTGCCCGCATGCCCTTTGTACCCCTGCCTGTGCCCAGCCTGCTGCTCCCCAGGAAGGCTGATGGAAGGGGGAGGCATGACAGGGGTGCATGGAGGTCTGTGGGGAGGGGTCCTGTGAGGAAGAAGAATCCCATCTCTGGTGCTTTGAGGTTTACAAATCACTCTCCCCAAAATGACCCCATAAGGTAGTTTGAAGATTATTATACCCATTTCATAGGGGAAGAAACTGAGGCTTAGGGAAGGGAGGGGACTTGCTCAGGGTCACACAGCTAGTAAGAAGTAGATCAGGGACTCCAAACCAGGTACCCCGACTCCCAGTCTAGCATGTCAGCCCTGGAAGGCAACTAGAACAAGTAGTAGATTAGAGGTGGGACATTGAGGATGAAGACCTGAATTCATAAGGAGATCCATCACTTGGACGCTTTGATTAACTTGACCTGAGTGCGCCCCTTTGATTTCAGCCCACCGCCATTCGGTACCACCTGCTCAACCTTGCTAGGGGGCCAGCTCTGCCATCTCCCCAACCACAGCTGAGGCGAAGGAAGGCCTTAAAATGAATTCCCCATCCCCAGCGCCGCTGAAACTGCCCTTTGGGGAAGCCGTCTGACTCCTGGCCTCCCCTGTGCCATACGTCACCCTGAAATAAATGAGGGAGGGCCAAACAAATGAGGGAGGTGTGATTTGTCCCAAGCACTGTAGGGACCCTAGGGACTCTCTGGACCCCAGACCCTTCTGGGGACAGTCACTCAAGACCCAGCTGCAGAGATTTAGAGCTAAAAGGCATCCAACCGAGTCATGTTACAGATGAGAAATCTAAGGCTCAGAGAGGGAAGTGACTGGTCCAGGGTCACACAGCTTTCTGAGACAGGATTCCCACTCAGGTCTTCCCCAGGACACATCCTAAGGAAAGGAGGGAGGGGCTGCCTCGGGAGCCAGGGAGGATGGTCCTTCTTCCCAGAATGATGCAGCCATCAGGACCCAAGAGCTGAAGTCCAGTGGAGTAAGACCTGTAGACACACCTGGCACCTCGCCATTAGGGAAGATCTGCGTAAAAGGCCTTCTGCCCAACGGCGACACCTGGTGGCCTTTGGCCAGCCCTACACAGAGCTGTAGACCTGTCAGAGTCCAACCG